GCATTAAAAACACTCAAAACACCTTGACAACCCCATAGCAACATCTTGGCAACCACACAAAACATGCCAACTGCAAAGCAGTGCATTAAAAACACTCCGAGCACCTTATCAACACCCTGGCAACCATCCAGAACACCATGCCAACTGCAGAGCAATGCATTAAAGTACTCAGAACGCCTTAGCAACCCCATAGTAACAACCCAGCAACCACCCAAAACATGCCCGCTGCAGAGCAATGCATTAAAAACACTCAAAACACCTTGACAACCCCATAGCAACATCTTGGCAACCACACAAAACATGCCAACTGCAAAACAATGCATTAAAAACACTCCGAGCACCTTATCAACACCCTGGCAACCATCCAGAATACCATGCCAACTGCAGAGCAATGCATTAATGTACTCAGAACGCCTTAGCAACCCCGTAGCAACGCCCTGGCAACCCCCCAGAACACCATGTCAAACACGTACTGTAACAATGCATTAAAAACACTCAGAACACCTTAGCAACACCCTGGAAACCACCCAGAACACCAAGCCAACTGCAGAGCAGTGCATTAATGCACTCAGAACACCTTAGCAACCCCATAGCAACGTCTTAGGAACCACCCAGAACGTCATGTCAAACATATACTGTAGAAATCCACTAAAATTATTCAGAACACTTTGGCAACCACACAGAAAACCATGCCAAGTGCAGAGCAATGTATTAAATCAACTCAAAACACCTTAACAACCCCATAGCAACGCCCTGGCAACCACCCAAAACATCATGTCAAATTTATACTGTAGCAATCAAATAAATATACTCAGAACATCTTGGCAACCCCATGGAAACCACCCAAAACATCATGCCAAACACATAGCCATGCATTAAAAACACTCAGAACACCTTAGCAACACCCTGGCAACCATCTAGAATGCACTAGGATCATGGGGGTAGACTTTTAATTTTTTTTTGCATGAAAAAACACCACTTTAACTTTAAAAACTTTTGCATTTGTTTTTGAAATGCAGAGCAGTGTGTGAAAATGATCACCTCTGTGGCCTGTAGCATGTGAGATTGTCCCGCATTTATATTCAGTATGCGCATGATTGAAATGGGTGTCAGATTGCTTGTAATGGAGGGATGCAGAATAACCTTTGATCTGAGTGAGTCCGAATTGCAGGATTCTACATTGAAAAGCCTTTCATTCATGTTTAATATCATATAAACTGTTCCAAACATTTCAGAGGAATATAAAGTCATTATAAGGCTTTCAGAAAAAGTAGGATACCTCTTAATTTCTGTTGTTTGTTTTCATATTAATCAGTGAATTGATTGATCATTTCCGTCAGATTTCTGAGTACATCGAGGAGGTTTTCCTGCCTGATGATTGTTTCATCCTGGTGAAGCTGTCGCTAGAGAGGATTCGTCTTCTGAGGTTGGAGGTAACGGCAAATTGATCATAATTACCTGTTAATGACAGACTGGAGCTCAAAATGATTCCTCCAGCATCAGTGTTTTTATCGGTCTCTGGATTGTCACTTAGTTATATTGATGGTTCTGCCTTTGTCATTACTGTATTTCTCTCCATCTCTCAGCAGCTGATGCAGCTGTTCCTGTTGAGTGATTTTAAATGATGGATGTTCTTGACACACAGTGATGATCCTCCTCTGCAGAGGTTTATAGAGTCGTATTGTTGTTTTGTTCTGTTCAGGTGAACGTAGAGATGGTGCGTTATTACAACTGTACCTCAAAGCTGCGGGTGAAGCCGGGCGATATCGCAGTTCACGGAGAGGCTGTGGTCTGTGTGACTCCGAGAGAAAACAGCAAGAGCTCCATGTACTACGTCCTGCAGTCGCTCAA